TTTTTTTTTAGCAAAATCTAATTATTATACGCGTAATCATAAATATGCCCTATATTATTAAAAATAATAACGTTAAGGGCATAATCAGTATGTTCGAGTCGTAAAAATCCTGACTCGGATCAAAATTGATTTTTTAAATACTATTTATCTAGTGATTAATGGATCTTAGATCCTTCCTTATTAAAGTGATCTTGTACAATATTGTCCTATTGATGGACAATTATTTTTTCTTTATTTAAATTATCAAAAAGCCCTCAAAATTTTCTAAACTTAATAATTGATACCACATGATTCAATTAGACCATAACACTTATGTAAAAATTTTATTAAACTTTACTAATATTATTTGTAATAAATCAAAAAACTTTATTAAAAATTCAATTTAAAGTGTAAAAATCTCCATTTCCTCAATAGTAAAACTATTTGTATCTAAAATTTTACTTTCATATTGAGCTTGATTGCATGTGCCAGTATTATTATTGATAACCAAATCGGAGTTACCAAAATTTAACGACATATTTTGATAATTCGATTCATACATTGCAACACTTTCATTTACAACTCGACTAATCGTCAAATTTTTCAAATCATTACCATTGCCTAAAGAAAAAATAAAACTTTCGGTAGTATTGGCCCAGTAATATTCATTAATATGCCCATAATTATTTCGACCAGAAAGCCCATGAAGATATGAACGACGACGATAACCATAACTACTATTACCATAATAATTATAATTAATATTTTGATGGTAATTCCAACCAAGAGGATTATAACCGCCAATTATGGTTCCATTTTCTTTGGTTTTTATAATCAAAATACATGCTCCCTTTCCATTACAAATATTACGTATAGTATTGATATCAAAGCCATCTCTACTTCCACGATAGATAAGATTAAAATTACATTTATTATCCTTTGAAATTTTCGCATTAGAATCTTTTCTTTGAATCCAATTTGTAAGGATAATCACATGTTTTGATTTAATGATCATTGAATCAATAGAAATTTTTTTATGACGAGGAACCGATTTATTTTGCATATCATCAGCATTTAACATGTGGAAGGAGACAATATCTTCAAAAATTTCTCGAGGTAACACCTTTTTAAAAGGCCAAATAAAACTATGAAAATCTTTTGAAGAAATGTCGAAAAATCGGATGTGTGTGATAAATTGATTCAAAGTATTCTTCAAAGCCAAGAAATCCTTTTTATTCCAAATATCTAAATTATTGGCGTCTTTTCCTCCCAGTTCTTTAGTTTGAGCAATTCCCCATTTAATAAGATAATTCCATAATTCAATTTCATCAATTTGTATATCATCTCTTTTAACCAATCCAAGTAGAATATTTTTTTCTAATGTTGGAAAATCTTGTGAATGAAAAAATGGTATAGGATCATCACAAATGGTTTCTAAACAATAATTTTGAAGCTCTTTACAGCTCTCTAATTGAAAAACAGAGTGAAGAACTTTGACGAAATTTTGTTGCAACCATTCGTTATGATTTACTATTAAAGTTTTTATTACAAATTTAACCAACTCTTCAATAAGAAATTCATCAGACGCTAAAAGAAGAGCAAGGATATCTGAACCAACTTGTTTGCTCAATTCAAGAAGACCAGTATACATAAACCTAAAACAAAGCAATGTTCTAACCTTAAATTCGTGATTTCAAACTAAAATTATTTTATCATTCATTATTCTTACCTAAGGATCATTTCAAAAACAGTAGGAAAAATATTTTTTTTAGTAAAGTCGATCATGTTATTCTTCTCTGTGACCAAATCTCGTGAAAGAACTTTTTTAAAATAAGGAGAACGAGCTTTCAAGATATTGGAATGTGCGTGAAATTTCTTAGTATTGGGATTCTTTCCAACTTTGATAATAATATCGTAGTCATCTGCATTTTCAAGCAATTGAGAAAAATTTTGAGATAAACCGGGGAAAAATTCAAAAGCCATTTCTAAATTTTTTTTTCATTCATTCTAAATTTATGTTACGTAAGATCACTATTTACACTTTCACATGTATTAAATAAATTAAATCAGTATGACGAACACATTTAGTCCAAAGTCACGTGTTATTTGGTTATCATTTATGTATTAGCAAGTAATTTGAAAATAAATCAGTTGTTATCGTTGGAAAATCTCTATATGAATCGTAGGTAAGAAAAGAAGAAAAGCTAAAACGGCAACGAAGCTTCCTATGAAAAGTAAGTGTTCACAGAGTTCCAATGTTATTCTTATCGATTTTTGCGAGATAATTTATTTAGATATTGAAAGAATTTCCTAATTAAAAATTTTTTAACTGAATAAGTGACGGCAATATGTTATGTGATAATTCCGTTTTGTATGTTCTTTGGTTTATTTGTTATATTTGCTATATTAGTTAAAGTTTGCTTTACTCTAATAAAAGATTTTACATTTTTTAGTTATAGTTCGGAACAGTCGAACAGTTTCTGCACCAGTAAATTCAGATACATTTGAAAATAAACTTTAATTTAGTTGCGTTTTTTTCCCTTCAATAGTTACGGACGGGAAATTTTTCACCTAATGGTTACATTCACAATAAAAGATTAAAATCAATTAAAAAGAACACTGTTGATATTGGTGTTTTAGATAGTTGCTTCCTGTTTTTACCGCCAACTTATTTAACTAAAATGGTATATTA